GGATTGCATACCGAGGTAAGTGGTATAATTTGGGAGGGAAATGTTCACGTGGTTCATGCTCCTCAGAGTTTAGACGAGACTGAGGCTCAGGGAGACTCCCTCACACAGTGAGATGCTGACGCTGCTGTGCCTGTACCTGATCGGCCAGCTGATCTCTGAACCCTGGCAGGCCCAGGGCCCTTCTCCCTCCTGGCCACTTCCCTCTGCTGAGCTCAGGGCATCGGACTCCTGGCTTTCTTTCCCTCAGGACCAGGGAGGGGGTGAGCCAGCAGAGGGCCCCTCCAAGCCCCTGCTCCATCCCTACTCAGCAAGATGCTGGTCGCAGCTGGGACCTCATATGCTCCTTTTATTTTGAACTTCCAAGGACTTAGGAAATGCTTTCTGGTGAGAGTGATTCCAAAAAAACACAATTTCAGTTGCATCCACTTCCGAACATGTTAGCCCCTGTTTACATGGCAGTGTTGACTTACAAAGGAGGACACACTCGTCCTGTCCATTTCTCTCCCCAGGGCTGAGTGGTGCAAGTTATCATCTGGCCACGTTGCCATCACAGGTGAGAAAACTGAAGCTCAGGAAGGGTCAGAGATGTAAGCAAGGTCACATGCCCATTACTGACAGCCTGGCACCTGGCTTCGTGCCTGGCACAAAGCAGGCTGTTCAATGAGTGTTTGTGAAGTGAACTGTTAAACGAGTAATAAATGCTGCTGAGCAAAGCACTCACCGTCGCATGTTCCAGTGATTCACACAGTCACCTGTCATGGCCTAGGCCCGCCTCACAAACATCCTATTATCAGCCCCCTTTTAGAGACGAGAAATCTGAGGCACACAGAGGTTAAGGAATGTGCTATGGACACACAGCTAGTAAGTGACAGAGCTGGGAGCCCCGTCAGGCTCCAGAGTCCATGCTCTTTGTCCCCTTGCTAAATCTAGAGTCCAGAGCAGCACTTTCCAGTAGAACTTTCTGTGATGCTGGGAATGTCTGTATCTGTGCTGGCCGATACGGTAGCCGCTGGCCACGTGAGCTCTTGAAATGTGGCTGGTGTGACTGAGGGACTGCCACTTATGGGAAGAAAAGCAGCCCGTCCCACATCTAGTGTTGGGCTCTATGGTTTCTTAATGATGGTCAAAGCAACAGCCCAGAGTCTTGAACCCAAAGACACTCACAGCCTCAGAGGCCAGATTGCTCAACTGCCTCGTAAAGAGGCAGGAAGATGGAGAGAAGCGAAGGGGAGAGGTGAAGGAAGGCACCCAGCCACACATAGTCACCCAGCAAGGACCCACAGAACCAGGTCCCCAACCTCAGGTCCTGTCCACTCCTAATACCAAGGCCATGCCCTCTTGTCTCTGCTCCCTCTGCTTCCTCCATCCCTCTCTCCTTCGTGGAGCAGTAATGATGGTTCACGTTTCCCACTTTAACAAGAAGAGAGAAACCCTGCCCACGGTTCTCAGACTGAGCCGTGAGATCCACGGCCCTGCGGGCTAGGTTCACCCCCAAATCCATTCAACTCTTGGTGATCCAGACCAACACTCTCCACTCTGGGCTTATCAGTGGCAAAGCTGCAATCCCTGCCAGGCATGTGGCCGGGAGGCGCTGCCCTGCTGTCAGCTGGAGTGTACAGGGAGCGCAGGCTTGCGGGCTTGGTTTAACATTGGCTGTAGCTAAACCTCATTAGAAAAGTAAATTTGCTGTAGCTGCAAAAAAAAAAAAAATGCAGCAACCCACATAACCCTTCCAAAGCTAAACAGAAAACTCTGTTTCTGGATATTTGATGCTTTATGTTCCCAGCACTGGCCCAGAGCCTGAAACACGGTAGGCGCTCAGTCAGCATGTGCAGAAGCAAACGGAATTCTGAGCGATCTCTGTCCACCTTGCCGCCTTTCAGCAGGAATAAGAGGCCACAGAACTGGAGTTCTGGTAAATTGCATGCATTTTTAGACAGCCGTTGCCTGATAAACTGGGACGATTACATCGACCACTAATTAGACGTGGAAAGTTGTTGCTGTCGCTCGGCAAGGAGACACTAGAGTGTCCTTGCAAAAGAGTGCACCCCAGGAGGGCCTGGACGAGGCCCAGAGTCTGGAGGTGGGGGAACCAGATGGGGGGCCCCACGGGAGACAGGAGAGACTGCAACGATTCCCACGTGATGACTCCAGGGTTGGCCAGAGAATTGCTACTCCAAATTCTACAGCCATCCAGATCCTGGAAGAATGTGGGGGAGGGTATACAAAATAAACACATTAACATTCAACTAGCACTTCATGGGAAAGTGGCCTGGTGAGAGGAGGGCTCCTCGGTTTACAGCCTGGGAAACCAAGGCTCAGAGGCTCCGTCTCCCCAAGTCCACTCAGCTGGTCACAAAGGGAGCAGAGACGGATGCCCTGGCCCGGCTGCCAGCCTGTGCTCCACGCTGCAGTGCTTCCAAGCTGGATGCACTTCAGCAGGGTCCCCAGAGGTCTTCTTGCCTGCAGGCTTGGGGTGTATGAAGGGGGTTTTTCTTTTTCCTTCTCCCCAGGTGTCAAGTCTCCTCGGAGCCCACACCCTTCCCCACCCCACTGCATCCCAGAACCAGGAGGGTGGTGGGTCAGGGGCCAGGACATGTGGAGGAGCCCTCAGCACTGGGGAATGGGCCTGGGCAAAGGGTCTCCATGAATATCCTGCTCTCACAGCCCGTCCCCTTCTGCCTTTGGGCCTCCCTCCCACCCACCTGCATTCCTCAGAGCCACAGAAAGACCCTTCCTCAGGAGACCATGCCACTGCTCCACTGCGGGGCCCCTGCGGGCGGATGACTGCCAGTACTGGGGATCTTGGGAAGCAGGGTTCCTGGGCTGGCTCCCACAGCACCACTGGGCGAGCCAGACTTCTGCCTTGGGGCCTCCCTCCTTCGTTCTGTGAACGTGCTTGTGTCTTTGTCTCTGGTCTCATGCTGGCTTCTTTGCCTGCCTCAGACACTCTCAGATTCTTTCTCTTCCTGAGCCCTGCCTCTCTCTCCAGTTCTCAGTGGAAGAGTGCTCTCAGGCACCTCTGTGCCAGCTCACTCCTCTCTTCCAGCCAAACTGAACCCACATGCCCCCTGTCCTAGAGCCCGACTCCCACTCAGCTCGCCTGCATCTCTTACCCGTGCAAAACTCCCGCCCTGCCTCATCACCCTGTGCTCTGCAGCACGGAAGGACAGTGACTTGGTCCCCCCGCCTCTCAAAAACTACTGTGGGACAGTCCACGCCTGTCCAGGGGCCTGGGGCAGGGACTAGGCTAGTCCTACCAGCATCTTCCTCTGAAGCCCCTGGTCTCTGCTGCAGGATCCAATCCTGTTGCTGGAGCTGTCCCACCTCAGTGATTTATCTCGCCACGCTTCAGGAGGACCAGTCAGTGCCTGCTCCTCTAGAAATCTATATGCACTCATCCAACCCAGCACATATGAGCTTCTGATACGCCTGCACATGGATGATTCCCAAGCGTCTCCAGATCAGGCACAGAAATGGCTCCTGTGCTGAACGGGCACAGACCCACCGCCCCTCCCTGTTCCACTAACTCTAGCAAGCCTTCTTGCTCCCACCAAAAGGGGTAGAGGAAAATGGCACACAGCTCCAAAACCTTTGGGGGTGTTGGCATGGACGGGGCAGAGTGGACAGTCTGTTTGAGGGTCTCATGGGGAAGAGTCTTCATTCCGTATTAAGGAAGGACTTGATGTTTGGTCCAGCAAGGCCAATACTGGTCACTAGCTAAGCAGGTTCTGGGAGGAAATGTCTCAATCCCTGTGGTGGCTATTGGCAGAGGCAGCAAGACATGAGGCACAGAAGACAAATTTTAGAAACTCTAGAGCAATGGTCCTGCAAGGCCACCTCGCTCATAACCCCAGTAACTTAGGAAGCTGTGTGCCTCTCATCTCCACACAAACATACACGACAACTTCACAGTGCTATGCACTAGAACATCCCTACCCCATCCTTTTACACAGCGCATGCCACACAACCCAAGCTCAGGGTCCCAATGGATACTCCATCCAGATTGGTACCCTTGCAGGTGGAGCTGCACCCACCAGCATGGGGCTAGCAACTGTCAAGGCCCCCTTCAGAGTCTGTGAATTAGAAATCCCCAGAGTTCCTCAGCTCCAGCTTCTACAAGAATCCATGTACATGGTGCATGGCTGAGACTAGGCCCTCCTGGGAGAGAGAAAGGGGAAGGGGAGGCTGGTCAAGATCTTGTTTATGTGTGTGTGAGGGGAGGGGGGCTCTTGACTCTAGCTGCTTGGTACCAGGCTGTCACCTCCTCTCCCTGGCACTGTTGGATCCTGTGGTTTCCTCCTTTCTTCTTTCCTGCCTCATCTCTCAGCTTCCTTTTCGGAAGCTGTACCCTCTAACTCTGGGGGATCAGGATGTCAGGTCTGAGCTCGAGTGCGGGAGGAGGGTGGGGAACTTGACCATGCCTCCTTTCTTCTCCTCGGTACACTAAAGGTCCCAAGGACCCTCTGTCCCCTTCTTGCCACCTCTCAGCCCCTTAGCCTCCCCAGCAGAGCTGCAGAGCCTGGGTCCCCTGAAGAGAGTTAACTTGCCAGTGCCTGCAGCTCAGAGCCGTTGGGGATGACTACTGGGAGGCAGGGGTGCGGTGGGGGTGCTGGCCCCTGACTCCTCTGGACCCCCAGGAACTACCTGCTGAGATGGAAACGGACCAGCGAGCTAAAAGCCTGGCCAGTTGTTGGAAGCTGCTGAGAACCAGCTCTCCCCTAATGCAGCCCGAGGAGGGCAGGCGGAGCCCAGGTTTTGTTTCTCAGCCCCTTGGTGGCAGCGCCTCCCAGCCCGGGCCTCCTTCCTGGCCCCCTTTCCAGCTGCTTCCACTGTGCGCACAACCCAACCCAATACACAGACACACACACACACACACACACACAAACACACACACGCACCCGGGAGGACACGGCGTGGTTACTGATGGGGACGCATAAAGGGGCTCTGTGCGCGGCCGCGGCGCCCGCGGGGGCGAAGGCGGCGTTGGGGGCACTGACCTGCGGCGGCGAGTCCAGATCGTTCCCGGCGCGGTCCATCGCGGGCGGCGGCCGCTACGCCCCGGCCCCGGCGTCCCCCGGCTGCTGCCCTGGGCCGCGCGCACCTCCCTCTCCGGGGTCTCTCGGGCTCCGGGCCCCGGGGGTCCACTTCATAGCCGGGGTCCGCGGCCCGCCCGCCTGCAGCCCCCGCCCAGCCCCGCAGCCCCCGCCCGGCTCCTGGTGGACTCCGCGAGGCGACGGCCGGAGCCTTGGAGCGCGCGGGAGGGCGCGGGCAGGGCGGCGTGGGGGGCGGGGGAGACAGAGAGGGGAGGCGCGGGGGGCGGGAGGAAGCAGGGGGCCGGCACCAGGGGCGCGGAGAGGGAAGCGCGGGCGGCCTGGGCGCGGGGCCGGAGCCTAGCCGAGCGGGCCGGCGCGGAGTCCCCTCGGCGGCGGCAGATGCGCCGGGGCCGCCGCGGCTGTGACAGCGCCTCCCGCCCCGCCCCCACGCGCGCCCGCCCCGCCCCGAGCGAGCGCGAGCTGCCGGCGGGACCCGCGCCGCTAATGGTCGGTACCAATCTCGGCCGCAGAGGCGGGGGGCGCGGGGAGGGAGGCCGGCGAGGACCCCCTGGGATTGGTATCATCACCTCCGCAACACAGCCTCCGAGCGGAGGAGGCTCTTGCTGTAGACTCTGGAGCAGGGGCTGCGCGCGGGGTCCCGACGCCCCCGGGCCCCGGCTCGCTGGAGTTAAAGCTCGTCGCTCCGCGGCCTGCACCCCCATCCCACCCCGCCTCCACCCTGGCTGTTCCTGGCGCCCGGCTTGGCAGCCTTTCTCAAAGGGTGATTGTTTCCGGGCTGGGCAGTTGGGGGGCGGTTCTCTGGGACCAAGAGCCAAGCTGGGGAGCAGGGAGGATGCAGATCCGTCCTTGGCTTCAGGCGTCCCGGGATGGGCGATGGCTGGTGGGGGCGGATGGTATCTGCCCGATACAGGGGTGCCTGTGTGGGGTGGAGATGGGGGTCCTCAGGCGCCGGCCTACAGGGCGGCCCCACCTGTCAGGTACTGCTGCCTGGTCGAAGGGCGTGGCAAGTGTCGGCCTCAGCCCACCTCCCACAGTGCCCTCGTTGTTCCAAGGAGCAGGCAGGGAGCAAGGCTGGGGTGGAGAGGGAGGTGGAAAGGGATAACGGAGAGGCAGGGATGGAGCAAAGCGGGCCAGCGGGCTATCCAGGAATTTACCAGGGATCTTGGGCAAAGAAGCCTCTGCATGTTCCTTGCCTATGTGAGCCGAGTGGGCTGGGGGATGTGTGACCAGTGAGTCCGTGTGTATGCACATGTGTGTGCATGTATGTGTGGGGGCAGGTGTAGCCATGGCATGTAACCATCTATGGAGATACTCCCAAATGCTCTTTTGTCAAGTTGCCAGAGACTTAGAAGCTATCCTTGTATGTTTTAAGGATTTGTACCCCTGACTGGTCCTCCTCCTGCACACCTGTAGGCAGAGACACCCTTTGTCTTCTTCCGAGCCACAGGAGAAGGCCAGCTCCTGTAGCTGAGGTTCTGTTCCCAGCAGGGCCCAAGGATGTCAGTGTTTTTTCCTAGCTCAAAACCTCCCACCAGGTCTGATGCCTCCTTCCCTTCTCAGGTGCCCAACTGTCAACCTGCCATCACACGTTGCTAAGTCAAAATTGTGCCACCAGGCAAGGTGCTTATGTCCTGTAAGCTGATGCTGAGGAGCACAGGACCCCTCCTATCACGTTCTCTGCTCTCGTCACTACCTAGCCAGGCCCTGCTCCTTCTGCTGAGTATGTGTGGTGGGTGTGGGATGGGGGGAGGGTAGGGGCAGGGCTTTAGAATTAGCCAATTTGGTCAAGACCTTGAGATGAGGAAGGGGTGCCACCATCCATACCATCTCACAGACATTTGAAACTATAATTAATTGCTGCCTTTAGGGACAGCTGTCCCTCCCTCTCACTCTCTATTCCTTTCCTGTGTTTAATAGCCCTCTTTGCCAGAGAGGAAGTTCTTCCAAATCTAACCTGAGTACCTCCTGCCCAGTGCAGGATCATTTCATTATTCTCTTAATGCAGGATGAATTACAGCAAGCCCTACTCTGCTTTTTCCTTCCCTTATTGGAATAACCCTTGCTCTTTTAAACTCTGCTAAGAGAAACTTTCCTGAGACCATGTTTTCCTTGCCTCCACACTCTGCTTCTCCCTAGCACTCTACACCATCTGGAGAGAGCGGAAGAGCAGTGCAGGAACAGGAAAGGACAGCTCAAGAGAGTGCAGAGGAGGGACCTGCCCATCAGTGTGCATGGAGTACCAACTGCCTCTCTCCCCACTTGCGCAGCCAGTCCCAGTCACAGAGTCACCAAATGTCAGGGCAGATATGACCTTGGAGAGTTTCTAGTTCTAGTCCCCCATTTTACAAACAAGAAAACTGAGAACCACAGAGGGGATCATCAACAGCATGTGGTGTGTGTGTGTGAGGGTGTGACAAGTTTACACCCATTTCTCCATCAGTTTCCCAGGACAAGGTTCAGCCCCAGGTGCTGAGCTTGGGGAGGGAGGCAATGAGAAAGCCTGGGTTTCAGGCCAGTTCTGAAGGCACCACCTGAATGGCCACCTCCCTTCAGAGCCAGTCTCTTCAATAGTAAAACCAGGGTTGGACTAAATCACCTAGAGTCCTGCCTGGTCCCCAACAGGCTGTGGCCACTTGGACCCTCTCTGCAGGCATCTCAGGTTCTCTCCCTTTAGCTAATGGGAGGCTAACCAGAGGGAGCACAAAGGGCAACAAGCTTTACCCTCACCATACTCTAAGAACAATAGTGGTAGTAAATCCCTTTCTAGGGACCCATCTTATTACTTAGCCCCAGGCTCTATTTACAGAATTTTTTAATATTAATTTTTTGAGCCAACTTAAAACAATAATGTGGGATTAAAATTAGTGTGATAAGCCTCAGTGAACACAGAACAGCCTGCCATTACTTTTGGTGGGAAGTTTTGGCAACACCCCAATTGCATGGACACACACAAATATACAGACAGCTATGTAGACACAAAACACACACACAAAGGCAGATATGCATGCAAACACACACAGCTATACCCTCCTATACCTCGTGTGTATGTATGTGTGCATGTACGTGTGTGTACTTGCAGAGACCCGCACATCTACAGACACATGTGCACACACCCCCCAGTCCCCACAAGGTGGTTGGACCCTAAGTGGTGTCTTTCTACCCCTTTTCTCTGTCTTCCTGCTTGGCCTCTGCAGGTCTGTAGACACCCTTCGCTTCCTTCCACATCTGGATTTAGTGGATCCCCAAAACTTAGCCCTTGCTCCAAACGCAAGGAGCCCCTGGGTCTCCCTGAATGACTGATCTTTCCCTCTTCCCTCTTCCCCTGCCAAGAGTGAGCCCCTCTTCTCAGAGGCCCCCAAAGCCTAGCACCAAAGTGTTTAGTATGCAAAGCCCAGATCTGTCCTCTGGGACAAGCTGCTATGTGTTTATTGTGTAGTTAAGCAGAACAGCAGCCCTTCCCCCACTCTAGTCCTGGCCCAGCTCCTGCCATCTGATGCCCAGCAGGGTCCCATAAAACTGTTGTGTGCAATGCAAATCCAGCAAGACATCTGGGAGGGTCTGTAGGTTTTCTCCAAATCACCTGTGCCCTAATTTAATATGAATGACAATTAGTTGACTCTTATTGGCTAATTATTCCCCTTGTGAGTTCCCTCTGCCTTGGCCTGTCTTTTACCAAGGAGCCTTGGTCTGCTCCTGATTTGTAATGGTGCTTCCTTTTCCAAGGAGCCCTTCCTTCTCAGCTAACCACCCCAGAGAGGAATCGGAGCACAACTGAGCTGCCACCTGCCTGTCTGGGATTCGGCGCCTGTCTTAGCTGTCCAATTGTTGGGGCCCCACTTCTAGGGAGCATCGGATGCCCCCCTGGAATCTACAGCAGTGATTTTGCTGTGAGCGGGTAGGTCCAAGGAGAACGCCCTCATTACATGCTGCGGGTGCACACCTGTCGTTGCACAGCCCCTCCCACACCAGAGAGTGGGGAGCAAGAGGAAGGAGAGAGCCACTCTGCTAGGCAGGCAGGGTGAGCTCCTCAGGGCTCAGTCATGCCTCCAGCATCCGCAGGCACACGTGAAATGCTCCCGTGGTGGCTCTCGCTGGATGTGTGTGCATGTGTGGTTTTGGGTGGTTGAGCTCAGGGCCCAGGGACTGGAAGGGGAAGAGACCTTTTAGCTCTTGCCTTTCATCAGGAGGCTTCTGGTCAGAGCTCTAGATCTTGAACATGCTTGTTTCCCCATAACAAATTGAAATGGTCTTTGGTCACCAGGACTCTCAGCCCTGGTCTTTTCCCCCTCCCTCCCACCCCAGCAGGGCCAGCATTCCTCCTGAGCTGCAGCAAGCAGGCTGACTCCTGCCTTCTGTCTCTGCCCTCTCTAGCCTCTGTGTCCACAGGAAGGACACAGTTGCATGGCTCTAGACGGCTGAAGTGATGTAATTTTTGTTTTGTTTCTCCTGTGGCTGAAGGAGGCATGAGACGCGATGGGAGAAGAGCCCTGCGGTGTGGGGGAGCATCTCCCTGAGGCGAACTGGGACCATTCTCTGTCGCCTTGGGTAAGTGTAAACAACTCAGGTTGCCCCTTGACCTCCCCAGCCACTCCCTCATGTCTCTCCAGAGCCCATTCCTCCCAAGTCCCTCTAGAGCCCCTTCCAGCCTGGGCCTGAGTCAACTGTAGAGCAAGCCCTAGGGGCTCCCTAAGTTCCTCCAAGGCTGCCCTGGCCCTGTTGCCCTCTTCCTGCAGCCTCTCCTTATTCCCAGGCACCTCAGGAAGCAAGCTGCCTTCGCTCAGTCCCATGGCGCTTTCTCTGGATGCTCCTACTCACGTGTGCGTCTTTCACTTGTTCAGCTAATAGTATCTGCGGGTGACCAGCTCCTGTTATGTGGGCTCCTGCTGTAGACCAGGCTGTGCTGGACACCAGGCTATATGGTAATAACAGACAGAGCAGTAAAGAACAGCAATTAGAAACGTTAACTTTCTATCTACCAGGTGATGCTCTAAGTCTTCCTGTGCGTTAACTAATTTCACAATGTTTATTTATGAGGGACTGTGTAAGATAAGGTTCTATTATCAATTCCATTTTATAGGTCAGGAATCTGAGGCGTGGTATTCAGGTAATTCAGTCAAAGTCACATGTATACTAGGTGACGAAGTTGGCTTTGATGCCGGCAGTCTCGTTCCGGGACTCGTGCTGCTCATTGTCTGAGTGTACCTCAGAAGCCCGTGCGCTAGCAGCTGTAATAGGCAAGCAGACAAACAGGATAAACACAGGTGTTGAGTGAAATGTTGGACGGGGAATCAACAGGGTGAAGAGCTAGGGAAACTCTTGGGAGGGGCTCTTTAGAGGGGAGGATTGGGAAAGCCTCTGTCAGGAGGTCACGTTTGAGCTACAACCTGCAGGATGAGAAGGGCCTGGTTCATGAGGAGCTGGAGGACAGGGGCCGGGCCCAGGGAACGGCAACAGGCACAGCTGGGAGGCAGGAAAATGCTCGGTGTGTTTGAGAAACAAAAACAAGGCAAGTGAGGCTAGAGCATGGAGAGAAGGACAGTGACAGGTGAAGTGAGAACGTTCTCTCTTGGAGTTTAAGGATTCGTGTGCATGACTGACCTCCACTCTAGTGTCTTCTAGAGAGGAGCTGTTCAATAAATATGATGGATGTAGTTGCTTAATTTCCTGTCTAGGCTCCCCTCCACAGCCAGGGTGATGGGCAGACATCTTGGACCTTTGGGTGTTAGCAGAGCTTCTGCAGAAGTAGCTTCCTACCCCTGAGCCTCTCTCACCCTTTCTTTTTGAGATTTGGAAGATGTAAAGGAGGAGCCAGGAGTCTTCCCTTGTGGGTACTTTGATTTCATTTATTTGTTCATTCATTCATTCAACCCAATTTCTGGGAGACTCCTCTGTGCTAGGAGCTCTGCTGGGTGCTGAAAATAGAGAAATGCAAAATCCAGCTCCTGCTCTCAGTCCAGTGGTCCTCTCACCCAGAGGTTTCTGTGTTTCAGTTCCACCATCTGCTTTTCTTCATGTACCGTACCACTGGATCCTTCTGAAGGAAGGAAGAGATGGGCAGGGCATTGGTTGTCTATGGGCAGACCGAGACCTGGTCAAGGGCTGCTGCAGATGCTGAGGAGGAGGGGAAAGCAGTGGGCAGTGGCCGCTGAATTCTCTTTGTTATCACCCAGGATGCTGGTTATAATGACATTTTTTGAGTGGGAAAGGAGGAAGAGGAGGAGAATATAATGGTTGCAGGTAAATTTCAGACTTAGAGTAGTGATTTTTGATCAGGCACATTCTGAAAGAAAGATTTTATGTTAAAAGATTTGAGAAATCTTTTTTTGTGCTGCATGTATCAGAAGCAGGCCTCTCTCCTTCCTCTCTAGATTCCTCAGTCCTGTGATTTTCTTTCTTTTTTTTCCCCTAGAGCCAAGATGATGGCAGAAGGTGGGGAGGGATGATACTTACAATTAGCAGACCCTGATGATCTTTGCCTAACCTGCATGTGGCCTGATTAAGTGTTATGGCAGATGGGAAAAGAGAGAACCCACACTAAACACTACCTGACAGCCTCCTTGATCATAGGAAGCTGAAGGGGCCGAGGAGCATTTACTTGCTGGCTTTATGGAATGAGTAAGGGTCTGTTAGGATCTCTGGGCAGTGAGAAGGAGGAGGTATGGACATATGAATGGAAAGGATGCTGAATGTTGGAGACAGCTTTTCCTCAGACTTCAAGAAGAAATGAGGGGGACAAGGCCACTTGAATGCCTTGACACAGGTCAGCAGCAGGCCCTCTGGTGATATTCCAAAGCTGGCAGTCCTGAGCCTCCTGCCCAGACAATTAGCCCCCCGGCCAGTGTGGCTGCTCACAAGGTGCCATGCCCTAGAGATAGTTGCATACAGACGTGCAACTGAAAAAGCTGCCCTTCATCTGACAGCCACTTCCTGGCTGCCTGCATTCAGGGTCTCTGCAGGGGAACTGGTGATCTGTCCTCTCATAGCCTAGTGATGGAGAAAGGGTGTCAGGAGTTAGGGAGAGCTCTAATAGGACCCTCTGGGTTAGAGCACGCATTTGACAGTTGTAATTCTCCAACTCCATTTTCTGCAAATGGATGGTCATTTTGGGTTTTCTGGTCTCTAATCCCTCATTCAGCAAAGCAAACACCCTAAATCCTCTATAATGTAGGTTTTACAGTCTCACATCTACAGATCTATGTTTCAGCACCGAGGCCAGCGCCACTCATGAGAGGCATATGTTCTCGCATCTGGACACAGGCAATATCAGGACACTGGAAGCCCAACTTGGGCTTGGCAGGAGGGCATCACATTGTGGAAGCTAGGCTGACATCCACATAGAGCCTTGTTTCCAGGCCCTGTAGCTGTGTTTCTTTGAAAAAGACAGGATCTTCTTTAAAGTGGCAGCTAGATAAGGCGTACTAGTAGAAACAAGATTTTTGGGGGAGGATCAGAAAAGGTAAGACAGCCCATGGTCCAAATGAGGGGACTGAGCTAGATCAGGGATGTCAAATGAATTTTATTTGCATTCCAATTTCAGGAAATTGGTTATGGATGTGTGAAGCGCTGTGTGAAGTGTTCTGAGGCTATGTGTGTGGTAAGCAGGACACAGTGTAATGACCCATTAGTGATGTTTGCCTTGAGTGGGTGGTGCTGGCCATTTCTGCTAAGTAGTTGATATCTAAGATCCTTTTAATTTCTAGGATTATATGTCTTTAAAAATCAGTGGTTCTCAGTATTCTCTTCTTTAAGTTCTTTTTTTAAAAAAGAATCCATTCATTTGTTCACTCATTCAGTTAACGTTATTGAGTGCCTGCTAGGTGCTTGTTACTGGTCAGTACGTTTTCCTTATGCTCATGAGCTTACAGTCTAAAGAGATTCAATATGGTGAGATAAAGATAGTGTTCTATGGAAGTGATGATATGTTCTGGGTGTAGTGAAGGTGTGATGAAGTCCTGGTGCAATGGGTCCCCTAAATCAAATTGTAATCCTCCCTACACATTGGTGGCCCAACTGGCATAACTTTATAGTGAGCTTTCCACAACTTAGCTCTGAGATCCAGAAAAGAGGTCCCAAAGGCTGGGTCATCAGTTTTTTGGTAAACCTACCTTGTTACTTGACACTTGCCTATTTACGTAGCCAGGGCAATCACAAAGCCCTCTCCTAGGCCTGGCCTGGCTGTCGTCACCTGTAGACTACCTGGTAGAACTCCACGGTTGATGCACAGGAGGGCCCAGCATTTCCCCCATTTGAGAACACCTTTAAAGCTCTTAACATTTTTTTGAGGGGGGATCTGGAACGTCCACATTCTCAATTAAGGATTGAGGAGAATGATGGGAGTGTTCTGACAATGCGAGGACTGAGGATACCCCTGGAGATGTAGGTCAGACCATTTCCAATGACCTTTTCCCTTGTTCTCTAGTAAACTAATGTCATCTTAGTGAGTCTCAGAAGATTTGTTTGTGATAAATCAGGCTCAAGGAACCTTAAGCAATGGGAAAGTGGATGTTTTAGCTTTATACCTGGGCACACTGGGACTCAGGGAGGAAAGAAAGCTGCCCAGGCCACATTACATGGCCACGAGCCCACCTGCATGCTCTGACCCCCAGCAGACCTGGAGAGCCAGGACATTACAGTGGTCAGGGGACCTCCTGAGGCTGAAGGCTGAAACTTGATCCATTTATCTCAGTGGTGAACAGTGAATCTCTCTGCCTTTCTTGAAGATCCCACAATTAAACAGGCAGAGAAATGTATTTCATAAAATATGTATATTGTTTGCCTCATACAAAAGCATTTTAATTTCTCTTAGCTCATAGCCAAGATGAGCGATGGGAGGAACAATCTTTCACTGCACATTAAAATCAAGTACTGGCCAGCAGAATCTTCTGAGGTCGTCCTCGTCATCATCATTACCATCACCACCACCAGCATCTCTGCTATCTATTAGTCAGCATAATTCCTCCTGAGTTCCATGGGAGTTCAGACTGTGTCTTGTTCATTAAATCAGCTCTTCCACCCAGCCCAGTGTTTGGTACCTGCTCGATACCTAATGAATATTAGATGTTATAATAGTTTATTAAAAATGAATGAATAAATAAATGAGGTTTCAAACAAACTGTGTTGTTTGATTTTTCCTAAGTATAACCTCATGAGATGGGCAGGGGAGGTCTCATCACTCTTCAATTATGTATAAGGAAACTGAGGCACAGATGGGTGCCTTGTCTTGACCAAACCCTATCTTGGGGTCTGCTCTCACAGAGGAGATTGTCCTGCTCTGCTCAGGTTTTCCTCCTTGGGCAGAATCTAATCCTTGGCCCCCTTGCCCCTGCCTCCCTCCTGGCTTGGCTGGGTGCCTCTGCTTTTGCCTGAAGCCAGTCCTCCAGCCATTTGCCTCCTCTGTTCCAACAGACTAGCCTTGCTTCCTTGAGTAATGGCTTCCCACCAGCACTAGAGCCTGAGGAGCAAACTCTTCACTAGTGGATGGAGCTGACATGCCAGAACAATTGGACTGAAGTGATTGTAGTTCTCAAATAGTTGCCCAGCTTCTAATTCTATCTGTGAGATGGACTAATTTGAACAAGAATTAGTTTCTAACTTGAGAATCCAAGCCCTGGCCCAGGAAGGGAGAGAAGGGCTTTGTGTAGTCCAGGCAGGAAAGAGGTTTGTGGCCTGCAGGAGGCCCAGGGGCTTTCCCAGAAAAGGTCTCTGGTGAGGAGGGATGGGCCTGGTCCCTTTCCTCTGCCCCACTGCTCTCTTCCACCAGTATGTCTGTGTCGGTGATGGTATCTCAGAACCGGCTGAGTGGAGTGGTGTGCTGATGTTCTGGCTCCCCTGGCCCCTGGGTAGAGCCGAGGCAATGAGCAGAAGTAGAATCTAAAAACCATACAACTCAGAGTTGGAAGGAACCACAGCTTATCCATCCAAACCCCTGCAGGATACTCCATCCCCCTGTGCAACATCCCTGGGAGGGACCTATCCTATTTCTGTTTTGCCAGAGACCCTTGTGCCTTTTTACGCATCCCATTCCATTTTTGTTCTGCTCCCTAAATTAGAAAGTTCTTTTTACTGAAACTGAAAACTGCTTCCCTTGACATCTTTGGGCTGTGTCCTTTAGGGTGGTGACTCAAACTGTAACGTACTTAGAAATCTCCTGAGTCTGATTGGCATCTGACTCAAATGTAGGTTCTGACTCAGTGGGCCCCAGACCCATATTTCTAAAAGGTCCTAAGGTGATGCTGATGCCGTGGGCCCACAAGATCACTTTGAGTGGTAAAGGCTCATGGGCACAAGACAGGGTAAAGTTTTAAAGGCAGTGATAATGTCCATCTTTTGATTCCTCTTCACCAAGATAAACATCCTACATTCCATTAAATTCATAGTAAACAAGTTTTATAAATTCATAGAATGTCAAGTTTAGAAGAAAACTTCTCCTTTGAAAGAGATCTTGTCTAATTTATTTTCATTTTACAAATGAGAAAACTGAGGCCCAACAAGGTCTGGAAATATGCCTGAAATCATAAGGCTGGCAGAGCAAAGAATAGCTAGAATTAAGGTTTGTCGAGCCAGGAACTTTTTCTCTTAAACTGTGCTGCCTTCAGATATGGGAAGTAAGAGGAGCAGGTAAGAGAGGATGACAAGATGTGGTTCCCCAGCTGCTGAAGGAGGCAGAAGCACAGAAGAGGTAGTCCTGTCAGTGATGCTCCATAGGGTTCAGAATAGTAGGGTGTAGTGGCTCCTGCCAGGGAAAAGGGGAGGGAACAAGAGGGAAGTGTGATAAGAAGAAGGCAACAATCAAGAGAGGGATAAATACCCATGGAGAGCAGAGACAGGAATAATGCAAGGCTATTAGACACTCTTGTTGAATAGGAAGAGATACTGAAGGTGGAGGGAAGAAAGAAAGGATTGGGCCCCTTAACAGGTGTCAGAGAAAATGGGCACCCATCCTCCCCATTCCCACAGGACTCGTCCCTGTTCCCACACAGCACAGAGCCCTCTGCACAGTATTTCCTGTTTACGTATATAGAATAAGTATCTTGAGGGTGAGGACCACGATTTGTTCACCATTTGTTCACTTAGTGGTCTAGTGGTTAAGATGCTCTTACTACCATGGTGAGGTTCATGTCCTGGTCAGGGAACCACACCATCTGTCTGTCGGTTGTCATACTGTGGCAGCTATGTGTTGCTGTGATGCTAAAAGCTATGCCACAGAGATTTCAAATAACAGCAGGGTCACCCGTGGTGGACAGTTTTCAGCAGAGCTTCCAGCCTGAGACAGGCTAGGAAGAGGGACCTGGCCACTCGCTTCCGAAAAATCGGCCATGAAAACCCTGTAAGTAACAGCGGGGCATTGTGTGATACAGCACTGGAAGGTGAGAGGATGGCGCAAAAGACTGGGCAGAGATGTATTTGCTAGGCACAGGGTTGCTAGGAGTCAGAATCCACTTGTCAGCACCGACAAACTTTCCGAACCTAACTCAGGGCCTGGCATACAGCAGGTACTTAATATATATTTTTCAAAAGCATGAATGCCTGAATAAATAATTAGGAGTAGGAAGCAAAAATCTAGGACTGTACAACCTAATAGAGGAAATCTGGTTACTGTGGACATAAGAAAAGTGTCTTGTCAGAAAGATGTGGAAATTAGCCCTGGGATAACCAAGAAAACTTGGCGAGTTTGGATGTATGTGATGAGGATCAAGGGTAACTCCTAGGTCTGTGGATCAAAGAGGTAGGGAATAGTGGGCGGAGAATCAGATTTCTTAGGAAAAACAAGAGTTGTATTTTGGACGTTAAGCTTGAGATGAATGTTGGGTACTTCAGGGAACATTCTGAGTAGGCAGTAGTATGCGGCTGGCGTCGCTGAACCCAGAGAAGCTGCTGGAGACTGTAGGGCTGCGCTGAGTCCCTCCGCACTCCTGGAGCTGGAGAATGTTACTCTAGCAGCCATGAGGGTGGAAGCAGAGAGTCTCCCCTCTGCAGCCTCAGTGGAGGACGGACAGCTGACCCCCAGGACTCACAGGCGTCCCGGTGTGCCACTGCTCAGGGAACTCCAACAGCTTGAAAGGGCGCATGAAGTAAACATGGGGCAGCAATGGAAAACTGAAACACAGTGAAGGGGACCCTTCAACACGAGAGAGAACAATTGGAACGCCCAGCGGAGGCAGCTCCGCTGCAGGACGCAGATGCAAACCAACAACAGGAGTGACCAAACCAAGCCCCCAGGGGATTAAAGCACAGCATACATGGAACTTTCCGGAGCTAAAAGGCACACATTCCAAGTGGAAACATTAAGTAGCTGAATTAAAGAAGGTGGCAACTCCTGAAAAGTAAATTGTTGACTTAGAAGATCAAATGGAAGAAATATCTCAAATATGGAGCCAAAAATATAGAGCTGGAAATTATGAGGAGAAAAGAAATAAGATATTTGGAGGATACATTCTGGTGAATTCACATGTAAATAGTAGGCGTTCCAGAAGGAGAAAAAGGAACAGATGGAGAAGCAATAAATAAAAAATAATACAGGGAATTTTTCTTGGTTTGTCAAAAACTTGAATTAGGAGCTTAAAAAATCTCACTGAGTTCTAGGTGAGACTGACGAAAATCTCCCCACCAGGCACGTATTAGGGACCATGAAAGACGCACGTCTTCATCTTCCCTGCGTCCGCCTCAGAGAGATGACTGCCTTTGTCTAAGCGTGTTGACGCCTTAACACTGGCCCTGAGAGGAGCTCTGGAAGACTCCTTTCCGCGGGTCCCGTCTTTAGGGCACAGAGATGATGGGGAAAGCGAGTGGCTCTGGACCGCTCTCCTGCTGTGAAGGGCAGGACTCAGGCCTGATCACCGTCTCCACAGAGACATACAAGGAAGCAGACCTCAGAAGCACACTGAAGAGCGGGGTGGGCCTAGGCTCGGTGGACCGAGGGAAATGGGCATTTCCCAGACCTGAGGTTCTCTTCATCCAGACCGCACCCTCACGTTCAGGTGTGCGGGTGCCAGTGTCCCCAGGTGGCCTAGTAGCAGAGCACAGTGCTGTGGGCAAGACTTGGTTAAGAGTGGGCCATGCTTCCATGCTGCTGGCCTAGCATGGTTAATGTACTAGGGTGGAGACACCACAGGATCAGTGTAGACACCACAACAAATTCACCAAACAGAAGAGGGCTTTACCAAAAGTGCAGGAGCTTTGGGCATGCTGAGAGTAATACAGCTGCTGACCAGCCAGGATCTGTACGTTCCTGCAGTGTAAACAAATTAAGAGTCTTCAGGAGCAGAGGTGTAGGGTTGACTGGTGATGGAATGTTGGAGTTGTGTGCATAAAGGAAAGGTTCTGGAGCCGCAGGGCTGTGTGGCTCTGGCATTTAGAAATTTTGATGTAATCTCTTCAGCAGGAGGACTTGGGCCTACCAAGGGGAGGCCTCCTGTTGTGGTCTTTACTGTGCTGGGAGCAGGTCGAGTGAAGAAGTGAATAAGCACATGCAGGCCATGCAATCCAGCCTCGTGAGGCAGATGTGGAGGACCTGTCAGGACGGAGAGGTGCCTGGTCTGCCCCTGTCCTCCACCTCTCCGAGCTGATGTTTAGGAATGATGGTCATGGTGGCTAATGTGCGCATCATCTCACGCGGCTCAGAAATCACTGTGAAAGTCGTGGTCTCCTTACTGCGATGATGACAACGGCGGTGGGCATATCCTTGCCACACTTCCATGGGGTATGGAGGGGCAGGGATTGTTATGCACCTGTTCTACAGAGAGGAGAGTTTTGTAGATAAAGAAAATAAGCAACTATGAGGACGAGTGGGCCTCACTTCTTCACCCCTCCCTGAGTCCACGCCCCTGTCACAGTTTCATTGTAGGCTGTGTGCAGTTCCTTATTCTGTGACTCTGGGCCTATCCATGTAATTTACTTCGGACATTGTGATGGGGTGGAAGTGACAGCAAGCCATTCTGAGACCAAGCCTGAAGAGGCCTTGTAGGTCTCTGCCTTTTTCTACCTTTACTGTACTAGGAGATGCGTTGCTGCCCCCTCAGCCTTGACCCTGGAATAAGTGGATGTGGAGCAGCCCCCATACTCGCAGACCTGCAGCTGGAATTTGAGCTGCCTCTGTTGGCCTGCTAATCTGTG